TTTGAACATGAAGCATTTACTTTAATAAAATAAAAGCTCCTACGACCCCTACACACAATTAAATTGGAGGTTTTATATCAAAATTTTTCTTTTCAAAAATAAGTTATCTTCATCATTGCTAAAGGTTTTTGTCTTCCCAAGTGTGGATATTGGGTATTTCTTCATTTAAGTAGCATAAAGTTTTTATAAAACCTCCAATTTAATCGTGGATAGGGGTCGCAGGAGCTTGTTAACTTTGGATCGTAATACCACCTTCTAGGGGTAGTACCACAGTATTGTGGTACTACCCCTAGAAGGTGGTATTACTATCCAAAGTTAACAAGCTCCTACGACCCCTATCCACGATTAAATTAGAGGTTTAATAAAAATTTTATAAAACCTCCAAGAATAATAATAATACAGTAATAATCATTATAATAATAACAGTAGCAATAACAACAATAATTATAATTATAATAATAGTAATAATAATTAGTAAGTAGCAGTAGTAATTTACAAAAGTAACAATAAAAACAATAATGCCAATTTTAGAGATAATAATAATACTTAAACAATAATAAGGGCAGAGAGAGAGAGTGGTTTGGGGAGTGCTATAAATAATACCATAGAAGCTATAACTACATTTATAGATTCAATCACTCTCAAACACACATACACAAAGACACACACACACACACACACACACACACACACACACACACACACACACATATATATATATATATATGTATATATATATATATATATATATATATATATACACATATATATATATATATATATGTATATATATATATATATATATATATATATATATATATATATATATATATATATATACACACATATACATATACACACATACATACATACATACATACATACATACATACATACATACATACATACATACATACATACATACATACATACACACATATATATACACAAATACACATACATACACACACACATACACATACATATATACACACATACACATATACACATACATACATATAGATGCATACATACATACATAGATAGATACATACATACATACATACATACATACATACATACATACATACATACATACATACATACATACATACATACATACATACATACATACATACATACATACATACATACATACATACATAAATACATACATACATACATACATACATACATACATACATACATACATACATACATACATACATACATACATACATACATACATACATACATACATACATACATACATTCATACATACATACATACATATACATACACACATATATACATATACAAACATATACACAATACATATATATAACCAATCACGCATATACATATATGTAAATAAACACATATAAATAAGTTAATACATTATACTTACACACATACATACACAAAATGCACACTCAGGTTCATACAAATATGTCCATATATGGAACAGACAGGTAAGGAGTAGAAGAAGAGATAACTGAATAGGTTTAAATAAGGGAAAATTAAAAGCTGTTATATTTTAGAAAATAGACAGAATTAATTGAAGATAGTGATGATGTTGTGTTAGAACATTATTAAGTGTTTTTATGAAGGATAAATTGTTTTGATATTGGCAATGAAAGCATTTTTAGTAATGTTTGGGAGATTTATTTTTAATAAAAGTGGCAGAGAGTTCCAAGAGTGAATTGATTGGTATTTCATAGATTGAATTCCATATTTGTTACTTTTTTTTTGAAGGTAGAGCTAGATTTTAACAAGATATGAATCTAAGATTGTAATTATGAATATCACTTGTGAATTTAAAATAGTTGTTGAAAGCAATAAGCATGGTATTATGAATGAAATCCCACACAAAAAAAAACCAGTTTAACTAGTAGATGAGTTCATCTAACTTCAAAATATTTGATAATACAAGTCTAGATTAAAATTGCTTGGCTGGAAATGAACTATTTGTATAGATTTATTTTGAAGTTTTATAAGATTTTTAATTTGAGTAGACTAACTTTGCCCCCATATTTGGCAGCCATACCTTTGGTTCGAATTAAATATAGCATGCCAAATATTCACTAATGTTTCATAGTTGACAAAATGCTTTATTTCAGAAAGCATTCCATTAGCTTGACTTAGCTTGCAAGATATTGCTTTTACTTATTGATGAAAGAAGAGATTTTTATCTAATATAATGTCGAAGTATTTGATCTTATCTACAGTATTTATTTTTTTACTGCTTATTCTAAAATAAGGTTTTTTTTGTAATTTTGTTGCCTTGAGATTTAAAGATAATTATTTAAGAATTATTGGTATTTAAGGAAATTTTGTTTGATTGTAGCCATTGAACCAAACATGCAAGGTCATGATTAAGATTTATTTTGTTTTTTAAGAGATTTACAAACAATAAAAAGATTGGTATCATCAGCAAAATGATATGTTTTGGAGAATTTTACACATGTGTGCAGATCATTTATAATATAAATGATCTGCACACATGTGTAAAATTCTTAAAAATCTTAGGTCCTCTACTCTTCCTCATTTATATAAATTGTATAAATGAGGAAGAGTAGAGGACCTAAGATTAAACCTTGTGGAACACCAATACACGTAAACCTAGTATTGGAGGAAGTGTTTTTAATGCTTACAAACTGAGAGAACATATACAGGTAAACCCTTAAACCCTTTGAGAGCAACTCCTCTGACAATGTAATGATTTAATTTAGACAGCAGAATCTCATGTCAACAGTATCAAACGCCTTCTCCAGGGCTTCGCATATTGTCTCAGTTATATCAATGAGTGCTTGATTTGTACAGTGTTTTTTGCAGAAGCCAAAGTGAAGGCTATAGAGACTATTAGATTGATTTAAAAAGTTTTCTAGTCTGTTAAACATAAATCTTTCAATTAGTTTGCCAATATTTGAAGATAAAGATATGTGTTTATAGTTATAATGATCTAGTTTGGATCCACTTTTAGAAAAGGAGCAACTTTAGCAACATTAAATAAGTCAGGAAACACTCCAGATTTAAATGATTTATATATAAAAATGCTCAAAGGGTAGCTTAAATCTTTTGATGCTAAGATCAATATTTGCGTAGAAACAGTACTGTCCAGTTATTTGCAATATCAATACAAATGGAAAACAAAGAGCCTCTAAGTAGAAAAATACTAAAAATTAATTTAAGTAAAATTTAGCAAATATAAACAGGAACAATAAACAATAGTTGAGGAGAGTCATTTATTGTTGTGCTACTAAACTGTTGTTAGTGTCGAGCGTAGATGTGATGTATAGACAGCATCAGTGATGGAGCAGAATTATTCGTTTCATAAGTAATTACCATGTGGTCTGTATTATTAGGGTGATAAACATAAATTATAGATATAAGTAATTATTACCAAAAATGAATTTTGGTAATAATTACTTATATCTAAACTCAAACCTAACACGCAAAAAAAAAGTTATTACCAGTAATAACTATATACTAGTAAGAGTGTTTGTATAAAATTATTTTAAAATTTCCAAAATAAAATCTTAACTGAGGTTTATAAAGGTAGACTCCAGTTCTTATCAAAATATATCATATTTTTAATATATCATCAAATATATGCATCATAATATATCATCAATAATCATCATAATATATCATCAAATATATGCATCATAAAAATATATTTTCGTTGAAGCGGTCGAAGTGCGGAGTCTGGGGATTCCCATTTTTGTTCGGAGTCTTGCCGTCATAAAAATTAATGACGCCGGGTTTCTTAAATTTTAAATTGTTATTTTTATAATATAAATTATATTATTTTTATAATATAATTATATATATTATTTTTATAATATAATTATATATAAATTTTATTATTATTAAACCGTTTTTTTTTTTTTTTTTTTTTTTTTTTTTTTTGCTTCAAAGAAGTTCTTACGGTCTTATCACAGAGCACCGCGGAAGACCATTTATTTGAAAGTTTACACCTCCTTCCCAACCGATGTCGCAAAACTTGCCCAGAGTGGGGTTTGAGCCACGGATCTTATGTTTATGAGGTAAGTGCGCTACCACTGCTAATTAATTAACAGTTAATAACGTTATTATTAACTAAAAGTTAATAACGTTAATTAAGTTAATTAATAATTAGGATTTTTAATTTTAAAGTTGTAAAGTCAAAAAAACTTTAAACCACTGAAAACCGTTACTTTAAAAAAAGATTCGTTAAAAAAAAAATTGGCTATATTTATAATAAATCTAAAAAAATTTTTTCGAACAACATGTTCAAATTTGCGAACAAGTCTTTTTTAACACTTTAGGCAGGGCCATCCCGAAAAGGTCTTCAATGGGAGGGGGGATTGTTATGTATTTTTTCGCCATCTAGAAACACCAAAAAAAAAAAAAAAAGTCCTTAATATTCGCAATTTTGCCATCTCTGTGTGCGGGGGGTGGGGGGGGACAAATGGTAAAGTCCACCAATGGTTAATGACGCGTTTAATTTTAAGTTATTTTAATAAAGATTTTAATAACTATTTTTAGTGGGTTACTTAATTAATTATGTAGTTTGAAGAAAAGTATAAAATAAGAAGCGAATACTTTATATGTTTGCGATCAGCTACAACAACTTTCTTGTTTTATACTTAGATTTGCTACTCTTTTTTTGTAATAGTTCTGAATCAAAAAACAGATATTGTATACAAACTTTTTTACGAGCTAAAAAAATTATGTTTCGAGTTTTTATCTTTACATGTATTTCAACAACAAAAAAAAAAAAAAGGAGGGGGGGATAAATGTGTGTTGAAGAAATTTGCTTGAGCAACCTAACTCGACACATATCAAGTAAACATGATGATCTTTTTGGAATTTACAGAAAGAAAGCAAACTAGAGAAAAAGAAAAAAAAAGGATAAGAGAAATATGAAATTTACAGGGAACAAAAGTTATTCATAGCAATTTGTATTAAAATGTTTTAATGTTTTGCGACTTTGATTCCAGGTTAAAATTTATTT